GCTGTTCGGCCGTGGTGCCTTGTTTACAAGAGAACTTTGCAAAACAAAGACAGTCACGGTCAAAACTTTGCTGGTCCATTCAGTATATTTACATGGAAGAGCTCTGAGGAAAACAAGTGTTCTGACATAGCCTCATGGGGTAGGGTAGTTCAGTGGAAGTGGTAAGTGGCAGGGAATGATCTCATGGCTATCTAGATGTGTGGTGCCCACAGAAAAAGCATCTAGTATTCAAACTTTCTTCATCCATGCAAAAACACTTGAGCAAAATAGAAAATGCCCAAGTGTTCTGCATGCAGGGAACAGTATTGTCCAAGTCTGGCTCCTGAGAAACTGGGCACAAGCTCCTTATAGGAGTGGAAAATGTGCCATGCCAACACCTGACAGTACATTTCAGACATACGTCCACCGCACCATCTGAGCAGCTCCCAGGAACGATCCAATTTTCCCCCTTCCTTTTAACTGACAGAATGGAATTGCTCTGGATTTACAACGAAGCACAAACTGAAAGCACAGTTGGAGCCACTGTTTTTTAAGAAGACCTTGCTATGCCATAACTTTTCACGGTTCAGTTGCTAAATTACACATTATAAAAATAAGTAAGTGCAATTGAGGGACTGTGTCAATCTCAGAAGTTTAAACATCACCCTGTAATGGCTGCTTTATAGTGGCCCACAGTAAAGGGGTTTATGGGGTGTGCAGGAGGTTTGTCCGCACGCGTCCGTTAAACACTCCTGGGAATTTTCTCACATGGAGAGACGAGGCCTGACACAAACTAAACACAAAACATTGCCGTCATTCACACGGCAACAGGAATGCCACCCAGTAAGAAAACACTTTACAACACCTGAAAGAGATAAGATCCACTGGCCAGCACTGGCTATAAGATGTTGTTTTTGGAAATGCAGAATTTCCTAACCTGACAATCAGTGCAGATTCTGGAAACACTGACAAAAACACAACTGTCCCCTTGTAAGGAAATAAGAGATTAAGCGTTGATTATAAATAGATGATAAAGAAGCACGAGTGGCTTGCAGAGGAGTTTACTAAAGCCAAGAGTATTTAGAGCCAAATTTAGGAATTTAGGGTGAGTTCATTTGTGATTCCTTGCTCAGGCAGCCAGGGGCTGACAGAGTGCACCCAACTGCCTTTTCTCTCCAGCCAAACAGAGGATCCATCCAGGCTGACTCAGAGATCCCAGGTGAAAAGGCTTCTCAATCAATTAAATATGACGGTAATGAAGTAGCAGGCATGGTATCAGTGCTGTGTTGTTTTATTGTTTAATAATCATTCTTCAGAATAGCACCACAGCTAAGCAAGGGTGAGTCAGTCTGGGGCTCGTGGGGTACAAAAAGCGATCGATGCCATACAAGACAAATGTAACCACACCCAGCAAGGCACCACCTGAAGACCTTTGTGCAAAAGCATCACCTCCCTCAGCCCTAAAACACAAGCAGTGAACTGAGGGGAATTCTTAATCCTTCAGTGTTACCATTATTAGAGTATCATTCACCCACTTGTCTGCAAGCTGCCTTCTTCTCCCACCAACTGCTTCGTCTCACAACAATGCCTCACTTCTGGCTCAGAAGAGCAACACAAAGCTCTCCCCTGAGCTTATGGCAGTGTCCCCATGATCACCTGGTGGGAGGCAGCATGACAATGATTTGACAGGCATCCTCCCAGGGAGACTCCACACATCAGTCACGCTGCTGACACGCTCCACACCCAAAGGAGCTCATCCAGACTAGGGAACAGTGCTCCTCACTGACCATCCAAAAGCAGCAGGTTTTTCCATTTCACTAAGGGCAGAACCAGAAAGAACCTGTTTCCTGTGATGGTCCTGGTGACACTGCCACACTGGTTTGAGCCAAGTCTGCCAGAGTAAAGCCAAGCAGCAGGTAACGAGCACAGAGGACTGAAATCTTATTTCTAGTCCACGAACAAATCTACTGACTGGCATCTAAAAGAGAATAGTACCGCAAAAACAATCACAAGTTATCTTTTTATGATGACCTTTTTATGACGTGCAAAGAGCCTTTCCAACAAAATAAAAATAATTCCACTTCAGATTTTCTTAAAGGAAAGTTAAGAACCACAGTATTTTCAGAGGATGTGCTGTTGTTGGGTAGCACCAAAAATGACCAACATTTACTGAGCAGAACAACATGAATTATCTTGATCTGACTGCTCCGACTTAATGAATAAATGATGACCCTTATGTCTTCAAATGGCATGTCACTTTAATATGGCACCAAAAAAAATAAGTGTTTGAATCACTCCTTCCCTTCATGCAGTGCCATGAGACAAACATCCATCAGTTTATCACCAATGTACCAATCTTTCTCAGACAACTGTTGTTTAAAGGACAGTCATGATAAACAGCTTGAATGAAGGAAGAAACACAAATCCTCTTTTTCTACGTGAGAAAAATGAAGGTTTGCAAATCTCTATGTAACAGCCTTAAATTTGCTGACTGGAAGTGCTGAGCTCTGCCCAGTGTCTCATTTCTGGAGCTCTGCACACTGGAATGCTCTGACATATGTGGGCAATGGGAAACTGGCTGTGATTGAGGCTTCTGCCATCTTTTAGGTAAGATCAGGGTTCCTGGCAGTTCAACTGTTCTTGAAGATAATAAATCCCATAGGAGACAGGAAGGCTGAACAATCACATACTTCAAACTAGCCCAACCTGTGTAGTTCCAAGAACAACTTCCAGTGCAGGTGATAGCAAGTGTATGATAAGTGAAGTTCCAGGAGAAAGCCAGTTGAAAAAACAGAATTAAGGGAAACAGACTGAACTGCTGGTTTTATGGACGCAGCTCAACTCCAGCACTCCGGTAATAAAACTAAAATGAACTCCCTCAAAGTTAAAAATCCCCAATAAAACTGAACAGGCAAGGTAATTATTTTGACTTGACAGAGGATAGGTCACTTGTTTCCACAGACAGCACCTCACCTTGCTGACATCAAACAGCAAGACATCTTTCAGTTCTTCTGGGATTTTTCCCAAAGCTACATTTGCTGTGCCATGGATTTACAACACTGGCCAAGCCTGTACCACTCTGGGCTAAAGCAGAACCTGAAGACAAAAAGAAAAGCAGCAGCATGTGCCCCAACAGCCTCTCCCGTGGTGTCACAGCTCCCCCACGGGACCAGGCTGGTTCTCCATTTCACATTCCCAGGACTGACCCTCTGCCCACATCCTGCTTATTAAAGCAGGTTCCTCAGGATCTCAGCTGGGAGATTTGCTGAATCAATACTTGTCCTGTGAGTACAGAGTCAGGATGGCACCCATGGGATGAAGGGAACTTCTCTCTTTCCCACCTTTCCCTTGGAAAAATGGAAGTGAACACCTGGTGTTAGTTCCAATATGAGAGAGTAATTCCATGACAGATGAACACTTGAATGACTGAAAATTTATATTACAAGGGTGATAAAGGTGACATTTTCAACATCAGCTGTCTTTGCCCTTTCTCCCAACCCCCCTGGTAAGGACCCACCTACTCTATGAAGTTACAATAGTCTGCAGGTACAAAAGCAATACTGGAAACTCCAGCAGTAACATAAAAGACATATTTATTGCCAAGCAGTATCACATCAAAGTAACCAAATGCCACAGTAACTAAAAAAATACAGCCAAATGCCTTGTGAATTCACTGGATTTTCATTTTTGGCACCTTCAAAAAAGGATTTTTTTTTTATTTTGCTGACAGGAAACCACACAGCACAACTGTCCTGTAATTGGAGCAATCAGACACATATGGGGACAAAATTTATAGGCAAAATAAACTGGTTGCGAACAGATCTGTTTGCTGTATTTCTAACCACCTCATTTTTTTTTCTTCACTATTCAAGGGTTTGAGCTTTCTTTTTTTTTTCTTTTGTTTTTTTTCTTATCCTAGAAGCCCCAAGATTTTTAGGTCCTGGTACTGTAGGGACCAATTTTCTAAATGTTTATTCTCAGGGCTGGCAATAGTGGTTTATTCCACTGAGAGGATAAATAATTCACTTAAACAAAGTTTAATGTTACAAACAAATGACTTATGTTTCTGGTAATTACTGAAATTGGGGGAGCAAGTTTTTTCATGAAAACAAATTATGAAATTGCTTGTTTGTTTAGTATTAGTCAAGCATACCAATATTTCAGGGTTATGAAAATGACACTTTCTTCATTCTAGCCAGTCAAACCATAAGATATTAAGCTTGAAGTTAACAGTATAAGTACAGCTCTTTGAAGAAAATCAAATAGCCCCACATCCCCAAAAAACAGTTCATTTACTTCAGAAAAGGTAATAGTGTGGGACTGACCCATTGCCCCATTTTCTTGAAATTCTCAAATAGAACACACTAAAGTTCAAGCAAAACCAAAAATCTGCATACCTTTAGGAGCAGGAGCACACAGAAAACACTCTCAGGGTGAGCTGTTCCAGATAAGCACTTTGCTTGCAAAAAAATGTTGGAAGATAACCTTAGTCCTTGACTAAAATACATCTTCTTGGGACTTGTAATGGAAATCAAAGACTGATTTATAATCACTGTGCCTTTTGCCATCGAGATGGGAAAGGTGCATTCAACGTACCTTCAACTTACATTCTGACAAAATAAATCATCTTCAAGAGTAACCTTAGCTCGGTGACATAATCAGCAATTAAAATTCCCAAGTTGCTAATATGCCTCTAGTAATTGCTTTCTATGTTACATCCAAGTACCTCCCTTCACAACTGAATTCCTCTCTGCTAAAAAACCACTCCTGGTTTCACAAAGCACAGGCCAGGTGGGTGTCATTTGGGAATCCACACTGGTGTAAATAATTTTGTTCTCCCCACACCAAGAAAAATGGGGAAAACAGCAGTAAGTCACACCTGCTGAGAATGTTGTCTTTTTCTAATCACCCAATGCCATACATTTATCATGTAATTCTACATTCACTTCATCAATAGAGAAGCCACTAGAGCTACTTCATCCTGGTTAAGTGCAAGGTTATTTATTTCATGAAGACACAAGTAGTTACGATAAATGCATTTATTTCAGATAATATTGGTTACACAGTCAATGGACACGCTGACAATATACATCTGTAGCTTGAAATGCCTGACATGGTTTCCACTGAGCCCTCACCCCTCGATGCTCCTCCTCAGAGATGAAATTGTAGTTTAGGTTTATTAGGATTGTGTTCAATCAACCAGTCAGCAAGCCAAATCTGTGGACAAAACCCACAAATGTTGTCAGTTTTCTGTTGTTTTCTACTAAATGTATGGGAGAATATTAAAAGCATTATTTGAAACCTCTGCTACAGATACTCTCCTACTGTGCTGCAAAATTAAGACCTTCCAGAAAAAAATGGACATACAGATAACCTGCTTTTTCAAAATATTCTTTTAAATGTTCACAACTTATATTGCTTTTGAACAATTCACGCTGACCTTTAGAAGACAACTCTTCCTGGCAGTGTTTATCTTTTTGTAATTGTAAGAACATTTGAGCCATATTTCAAATAATCCAGCCAGCTCTGCTTTGGAATGAGGCTGCATAAGACACATGAAACTGCTTAATGAAATATTACTCCTGACAACACTTAGAGATACCTCATCTAGTAATCATTCATTCAAAGTGCCAGCCTTCTGCACTCAAATCACTTTATAATACCTAAAACTTAAAACCAAAACGTGGTTACTTTTTGAAATTCATCTTGTAAGTTTTCCAGCGTGTTGTACTTGAATAAGAATGTGGGAGGCAGGAATGCTGTGAGTCCCAACTCCATCTGCCAGTCTGGGCCTGGCCTTAGGCAAATTAACCTTTTGCCTCGATTTCTCCACTTGTAAAGCAAAGTTTTTAACACATCCTTATTTACTTCACAGGGCTGTTGACGATTAGTTTCTGGAATGCTGAGTACAACAAACTTCATACCACACTGTGAAGTGAAAGAACTGGTGGAATGGCAAACGAGGGAGGTCAGTAACACTCTCCCTTTATCACCACGTGCAAAAAGGTTGGTTTGCAAAGGGAGAGCCAACAAGCTGAGCACCAGGACAGGTTAGTCAGAACAGCAGAGGAACAGTAAGAACACAAGACAGAAATGGAAAACAAACAAATAAAAAAATCTCAAAACACAAAAGCCCTTAGAAAAGCCACTTTGGGGAAAAAAAAATTAAAATAATTTGAACCAAATTAAATTTATCCTGTGTTACTTAAAGAATTGGCTGAGACAACCTCTGTACTGCCAGTAAGAATTTCTGACTGCACAGACAGTTTCTGATGCCATCTTCAAGAAGAAAGGAAAGAAGGAAAAAAAAAAAAGGACACTGGAAAAACTCAAAACATTCCATTAACAAAACATTCCATTCCCTCCCTGTGAGTCACCTACCAGGTAACAAACAGAAAAGCAACAGGCAACATATATTTCTGAAGCAGTATCAAATCGTTTTCCTGCTGTTACAAGTTCACAGACATTGTGGACGGCCAAGAAAGTGCGAATATAATGTTTTTAGCAAAGCTATTGACACTGCTTCATACAGCTTTCATATAAGCAAAGAAGGAAAGCATTGCCTCGATTAAGTTACTATTAGATACCTCATAATTGACTAGGAAATTGTGCTAAGAATGCAGATTAAATGAAACCCAAAACAATGAGTTAAAATAATGGGACTTGTAACAAGAAAAAAATCAGTTTTTAATACAGTGAAGACATGACTGAAGGGAAAGAAGATGGTAATATTCTTCAAATATGCAGTTGGAAGCTGCAAAAAAAGGAGATGATACATTGTCTCCAGTGTCTTCTGGGGATAGTAAAAGGGGGGAAAGAAAGTAATGGGCTCAAAATTGGAGCCCAGGAGATTTAGGCTATCTTTTAGTGAAAGCTTTTAACTAAGTATAGTTAAGCACTGAAACAGATTGCCCAGGGAGACTGTAGATTCTCCATCATTTGGGGTGCTAAAAAACAGGCCAGAGTTAGATACAACTGGTCTGGCCTTTGGGCAAAGGCATAGACTTCATCTCTGTTTTCGAGATTTCTATGGCAACAGTGCCAGGCATACAGATAAAGTAAACAGGTTATAAAGTTGGAACAATTCAAAGTGCGTTTAATTTGACCTCATGTATATCACATGTTCACAGAAACACCCCAAGTCATTTTTCAGGCTTTTTTTCTGGAAATGTATCTTTTAGAAAAATGTAATGTTGATTATAAACCTGATAAGGATCTAAAATCCACCACAACTGGCATCAAGTTGCCACATGGATTAATTATCTGCATGCTTAAAGAAGTAGTAGTGTGAACTAGTACTAGTAGAGCTTTAAAAATACAAAAACACATTTACCCTATTTTTCCCGATGAAAGCAAGCTCATTTCGTTTGGGGACTGAAAACACACCCTTGTTTCATCTCTAACAAACAAATCAACCTCTTGAAACCAAATGTTATTTGACTAGCTCATTAGCTGGTAGCTAAAACAGCACAGCTCTTCAGCTCTTCAGCAACAGAGTAGTTTTCCTACGTACAGGGACTTAGTAAACACAGAGTAAACGTATCCCAAAGCTTATCCCAAAGCTTCCACTGTACCTACCATTGGGTCTGCTGGCTTCTTTTTGCACAGGGCAGTGAGCCCAGCCAGCAATGTTGGCTTCACATACAGGTTCAAGTAATCCCTTGCTCTTTGTCCAGTGGGAACTGGCTCCAGGATCGCTGGGAAGAGTAACCACAGGTGTTAGAAAGCAGCTTGTGGAGTGATTAAAACTGTTGCTCTTTCAAAGTTTGTTTATAGGTGAGCTGCTCTTCTCCTTAACAAGTTAATAATACATCATGGGGTTTATAGCTTCTCCCACAACAAACTGCAAAGAAACTCCCTAAACCTCTTTACAATGTCCCTGAGGTAATGTTACTAATTATAGTCTATTATGGAAAAGGAGGAAATCCCATCATCCGGGGAAAACCTGTATGCCTGAAGAGAAACAATATATCCCATGTTTAGCACTTTCTTCTGGCAGTGTGAAGGTGCTTTCTAAAGACCCTAAAGATCCCACCTTTAGCCCTGCTTTGTTGTCAGGGTGAGAAGAGACATAGCTTGCACTGGGTAAGGTTTGGAGGGAAGTGCAACATCTTCTGTTAAATTCACTGATCTGCTTGACAAAAGCTGACACGTTTTTCTAGCTGTTGCACTTGCATCATTCTGTCAAAGAGCAAAGCCTGTTACAAACAAGAGATCCTCTCCCAGCCCTTCCAGGTTCTAAGGCCCCTTTCTCTGGCACTTAACTTTAGAATTGCACTGTCATGTGAGCATCCAGCTGTTTTTGAACAGGAATTACTCAGCCTGAGCCCAAGAAGAGAGTCAGCTGAGAATTCTCAAGCCAATAGGAGTCTCCGGGGCTGCCAGTGCCAGAAACACTTGGAGTGTAACAGCTTCCCATTTCCTCTCATTTACCAGCTTTGTCTGCTCCAGTTCTCTGAGCACAGAGTTTGAAAAGTGGAAGCAATCTGTGTAACTGTATTGGCTCTTCAGACAGATTTGGTAGCCTTTCATAGAAGTACCAGCTTATACATAAAGGGACCCACAAACAGCAAACAAACCCAACCTCTTCTAAATCAATTGTATCTGGAGTCTGGGCAGAAACAAGTAATACCAGGGAAGAACAGGAAAGGAATTTATCCTCCCCAAGACTGGCAATGTATCAACTGAACCATTTTACCTTCTGGAAACATGAATCGAATCTCTCTCTCTGCTGAGGAAACGCTGAGACTGCCATGAAGCCCATTCCTCAGCTCATCAGTCCCATAGAGTGCTCTTAAGCTAAAAACCAAGAAAAATAACTGCTTGGAGGGCAACTGCAAATCCCTTCCAGGTCTCTGGAGTCTGAGAGCACAGAAAAGCAATATATATGGACTAATTAACAGGACACAGGCTTGATTTTTTTTTAAACATAGGAAGTAGCTACCTAAAACTTCTGTTCAAGCACTCATCATTCCCTATAAGAGAGGTGAACTCTACATAATAAAAAACAAAGGTGAAAAGCTGCTACACAAAAGTACAAAAGTGAAGAGACAAGAAGCCACTCCAAATCTGTGTCTGTACTGTAAAAAAACAAAAAAGAAAAGGAGGAATTCTGGTCTCAATTAAGAGAATGACAAAGTCCTGCTGACTTCCCCAAGGCCAGTCAGTGAGTTACCTGTGAGGGTGAGTTATCCTAGCTCTCAGGCTGTTGGATGGTCCAAGCAATTCCTTCCAGTGTGAGATTGCACAATGTCTGGCAAGAACCATAGCAACTAAAGGGCCAGAACTCATATAGGCTGTTAAATTAGGAAAAAACACTTTCCCAAACTGGTCTGCATAGAAGTTGCTACATTGCTCTGGGCTTAACTGGAGCCTTCGTTTCTATAAAGTGTAAAAGACAAAAAAAAGAATTAAAAAATCTTGGTACATTAAAAGACTTTAGAGCATTAAAAGACCTCAGAGAGGATACAGTCCTCTGCTGCAGCCATGTCTTCGAGTGTAGAACACAGAGCAACTTCCAAGCCTAATCTGATTCTCCCAGATCTGATTCTCTTTGAGATACAGAGTAACAAAGAGTAAGACTTGTCCAACTTAATTAAGCAAACAGGCCATCTGAGTAAGATGTGATTTTAGCCCAGGCAAACTACAGCATTTTCTAACTGCTGGATGACAGTCAGGGCATTGTACAGAAAAAGTGAAGAGTGTTACAAGGGCAGGATTTCATTATTCAGCTGCTCAAGCACAATGTTCTACTTTTAAACAAGTTTCTCTCCAGCCCCCACTGTTAATTATGCAATTGTTCTATTTTTCATTCAGTACTCATGCTTTGTCACTCTCCCAGTAGCTGCCTCGGCTGTAGGTGGCCAGGATCAGGACAACTCTGGGAGGTTATCAGAAAGCACAGGGCAGTCAAGAAAAAAATTTTAAAGTGCATTCTTTGAGCTCAAACTTACACAACAGAAGAGTACCATAAATTCAGAGTCCTAATAATTTTGGTGTCAAAAGCCATCGGAGACATCAGAAGACCCCATTAACATATTAGAATTAAATAAATAAATAAATAAATAAATAAATAAATAAATAAAATCTAATTTGTTTCATCTTCTGATACATACCATATCAATAGAATCATGGAATGGTTTGGGTTGGAAGTGGCCTTAAAAATCATCTGGTTCCAACTTCTCTGCCACGGGCAGGGACACCTTCCACTAGCCCAGGTTGCTCCAAGCCCCATCTAACCTGGTCTTGGACACTTCCACGGATGGGGCAGCCACAGCTTCTCTGGGCAACCTGTGCCAGAGTTTCACCACCCTCACAGGGAAAAATTTCCTCCCAACATCCCATCTTTCAGTGTGAAGCCATTCCCCCTTGCACTGTCCCTGCAGGCCCTTGTCCCAGGTCCCTCTCCAGCTCTCCTGGAGCCCCTTTAGGCTCTGGAAGGGTCTCTAAGGTCCCCCCCGGCTGAACACCCCCAGCTCTCTCAGTCTGTCTGCAAAGCAGAGACGCCCCAGCCCACGGAGCATCTTCGTGACTTCCTCTGGAGTGCCTCCAACAGGTCCATAAATAAATAAATGCAAATAATAAACACAAATAAATAAAAGAACCAGAAAGGTACCAAAAACCCCCACCCGAAACAAGGGGGCGGAGCCCCCGCCGCCCTCAGGCGCGAGCGCACAGCGCCCCCCAGCGGCCAACCCGCCGGGTACATTTACATATTCATAAACTCTATTTAAATAATCATGAAGCCAATTTACTCTAAAACCAGCGGAAACCAAAAAGAAGTCAGACTGCAACAGGCCAGCTATCGAATTCAATTAATTTCTACTATCCCCCTGCCTGCTGCACAAAACCTCCTGAGACCAGAATGATGTGCTCTCCAAAGAGTTACTTCAGAGAGTCCACACATCTGCTCCAGGCGTTTGCTAAATCTTTTATTAACCAAGTCAGTGTTTTCCTGTGGTCAGCAAAACAGTTGGTCTGCTCTGTTCCATCCCATGCACCAAAAAAAGGTCTCCTTACAGAATCTGGCAGCGATGCTTGATGACATGTAAAGTATAAACTGATTTTTGGACACACAAGCTTTTAGTTACTGGTTTGATTGCTGAAAGTTAAAATAAATATCGTCCTGACTAATAAGCTGTAGTTGTTTTCTCTGGAGCACAGCCTGTTACCTGAACGATCGTGAATCCTGATCGGAGAATGATATCCTCTATTTCTTCTTCTTTATGAATGACATCAGGTTTGATGATAGCTAGAGTCTTTTCCACATAAATCTGAGGTTCAGGCATTAACACCTCCATCTTGGCTTCTAAATTAGAATTCACGTGGCCCTTTTGTCCTGCAATGACACCACGACATTTGGAGTTTGTCTACTGCACAGTCCCCTGCGGTGACATCCACCATGTACTCCGGGAACAGACAGGGACACCCCCACCTCACAAAATCCATAAGATGTTCTCTGGACTGGTCAGCGCCCTGCAGTTCACATTCCCATTTTCAGTGCAGCAGCATTTTGTGGAAAACAAGGAAAAGATTTAATGTTGTTCTTCACTAACTCGGACAGTGTATGAGGAAAGAGAAGCATTATCACACACCTTGCTGAGTGCAGGAGCGAGCCAGGCTTGCGGGCTCACTGCATTCCCACACCCTCCATCCACCAACCCTGGGCTCCTCCAAATCCCAAATCTGTATTCTCATGCATGAAGCTGGGGAGCTGGTCCATCTCTGAACCTCAGGGTATTTCTCAATCATTATTTAATTGCTGTATTTATGGGCTCAAGACAAAGTGCCAGTTTTCTCACTGAGTGGATGCATTGGCAAGCCCAGAGCACAGAACTGTGTCAGGAACGGGGGAACTATTTTCAGGGTTTCCTACAGACTTGTGACCACTTGTGACCTTCTTCTCATCAAGAATGGTGTGGGTGGGAAGGGACCTTAAAGATCATCTCGTTCCACCCCCTACCATGGGCAGGGACACCTTCCACCAGCCCAGGTTGCTCCAAGCCCTGTCCAACCTGGCCTTGGACACTTCCAGGGATGGGGCAGCCACAGCTTCTCTGGGCAACCTGTGCCACGGCCTCCCCACCCTCACAGGGAGGAATTTCCTCCCAATATTCCATCTAACCCTGCCGTCTGTCAGTGTGAAGCCATTCCCCCTTGCACTGTCCCTGCAGGCCCTTGTCCCAGGTACCTCTCCAGCTCTCTTGGAGCCCCTTTAGACACTGGAGCCTTCTCTTCTCCAGGCTGAACACTTCCAGCTCCCTCAGCCTTTTGAAGCGAATTTAAACAGCAGGATGCTGTGGGGGATCGTGTCCAACCCTCACAGGAACGCACACAACGACACCTGCAGCGCTTCCCTCGCCCACCGCCCGCTCAGCCCCACGCTCCCCATCCGCCCTGGAGCAGACCCGGGCACGCAGCACCGGCCTGGCCGTCTCCCCGCTGCAACAGTCGCACGTAACCGCTCCGTTCACCTGCCTCAGGACCGGGATGGGCTTTCCCAACCCTCTATTCCTGGGGGATTCCCGGCGATCCCGGCCCGCCGTTGCCAGGCGATGGCGGGGCGGGCGCGGGACACAAGATGGCGCCCGCGGGCCTCGGCCGCGCGCGGGGCGGGGCGGGACGAAGATGGCGGCGGGAGCGGCGCGGTGATGGCGGCTGGAGGCGGAGCGGCCCGCACGGGCCGGGAAAGCCGCGGGTCGCGGGCTTACAACCGGCGGCCACAGCTGCCTCGGGAAGGGCTCCCCATGTCGTGCGGGAGTACCGTGACTGGAGGGGACTCCCAGAAAAAACGGCATTTCTCCGTGACAATAAAAGCTTTATGTCAGTTTTACCGCAGGCTTACAACCGCTGAGGGAGGGGATGAGGTCACAGCGAACGCTCGTGAAGTAACGCGATTTATCGGGCGGGGGAAGAACACGCATAGAAGGCCTTTGCAGGTTATTTATCGGTGTTTGTGGAGGTTTCCTGTTTAGGTTCCTGCCCAGCAGCAGCGGGTGCGGGAGCTCACGGCGCACAGCCTCCGGCACACCCGGCCACTGACCCGCCTGCACAGCTCTCTAATGGTGTTCTTCAGCACTGTTATTGAATTACAGTGTCTATCCGGTGCCACTTAACTCTTACGAGAAAAACAAACATATAACGAGTAGGAAACAGTTTTCTGCATTAAGCCATGATGAGCTGCGCCTTAAGCAGAGCTGGGGAGCCACCATTCCCTGGGGGTTTATCGCAGATTTTGCATCATCGCCCCAATACATTTGCTCTCTGCACACTCCCTGTTTCCTCAGCTCTCTGGGGTCTCAGCTGGGAGCAATTACAGCACAGCCATGGTCCATCCAACATAATCCTTTGTGCCACAGCCCGGGCAGTGGCCGGGAAGTTGAGGCGTTGGGTCTCCGGTGTCGCCTCCGTCCCTGTTTACCCCGAGCTCCCGGGATGGAGCCCGGCCAGCTGGCCCCACGCTATCGGGGCGTGGGCCGGAGAGCAGCACCGATAACCCCTGAGCTGGCTCTGTCACCCTGCTCTCAAAAACCGTGCGATCCGAGGTGCTCTGGAGATCTCGGGCCCACTGGTGAGTTCAGCCAAAACTGCGCTTGAACCCTTGGGGTGACACTGACAGAGGGACGGAAAGAAAACACAGGAATATAAACATTATTTTTTTAATGAAATCAGACCAAAAGTAGATGCAAAGGAGGAAAGACAAAAAAGCCCCCCTACTTGGAGCCATAGATGCTGACACTGTGTGCCCTCGTTAGCTGAGGAAATAGCAAATTTACTGCACAAGCTGGTTTTAGTGTAAGAAAAATCCATTTTGTCCTAATCTTTTTTGTGAGTCATGTAAATACTGTAAACATAGAAACAAGAAACAAAACAATGCAATTATTTCCTCTCAGCCAGTTTGAGATATGCTTAGAAACCAAAGATTGAAGTTATTATTCACATACCCTAAAAAAATGAAGGTTCCAAATGCCTTAGACTGAGTAGTTCAGATACAGGCTTTCCTTCACCGACATAGGCACATAGCATTTTTTAATTAACAGAAATACCTTATGCAGTGTTTCATTTGAAGACAGCGTAAACACTCCAGCTACAGAGAGATAATGGATAAACATGTTTTATTTTTTTAAAAAAATGCTGATAGAAAGAGTTCACCAGTTTTTTAGTTTAGTTCAGAATTAATTCAGCAAGAGTTGTTCCTTTTCAGTGAGCTCAAGTCTGACAGCCCTAGCTTAAATTTAGCAGTTAAAGTCTTCCTCAGCTGCATGAACACTTCAGAATTATTACATAAGAAATGTTAGATTTAATATCCATATAGAACAGTTAACATGAATCCCTTGCAATTTCTTTATTGCGCGCATTTATTTTTTTTTACAGTTAACCGAGTCAAAAAACCCCCAAACATCTTTCTGTGCATCCTTAGAGGCTGCAGTTTGACTGGGAGCAGAGTCCTGTGCACTTCTCTCCTCTCCACAGGCCCTGGGGCTGTGTCAGAATTTCTCCTGCTCGCTGTTTCCAGAAGCATTTCTGGAGGGCGGAGAGTGTCTAATTTTAGTTCTCGGAGAATCCTCCGCTCTCCAATGGGCGAGCGGCTGCATCTGGAGCTGCAGCCAATTACCCGGGGTTTCCTCCTGCTACACTTCCCACGATGGTTTAATAATGCAGACGTACAAATTTAAAGTGGCCCCACACATTAAGAGAAAATCATGTGTTCCCCGACAAAGACACATCTTTTTGCACCAGCAGAACCTTAAAGCTTTCTTTGAAAGCCTTGGATGCCATAAACCTGTCCTTAAAACTCTGTGTTAATAAATTATGTTTACTGTCTTTATAGTGCTTGAAAAAATACTTCTGATAACTGAAAGGCTGGTCTGAAGCATCTTCCCTAACTTCTGGAGGTCAGGGATGTGGTTTTAAGAAAAGAAAAAAAACAAACAAAAAAACCAAAAGTAAAATTATAATTACAATGCAATGAACCTTTGCAGTTCTGAATACTCTGGGCATAGCTTGGCTGCTGTATCTTATCTGTTAAGCGGTTTAACAAGCCTTAGTTGTCTCACTTATTTTTAGCTGGCATGGAATATAACAACATGGAAAGATTGTGGGCTGCAGGTGCATTTAAATCCTAGCAACAACAGATAAATAACTTTTTCAGGAAAACTATTATTTCAGAGCTTTGTACTGCAAGAAGGTGCAGAGCAGAAACTAACGTCTTGTAGATTGTTAAAAAAGAAAGAAAAACAGAATGATGAAAATAACAGAGTGAAGAAAAGCTAAAGAAATAATACCAACTAGTAGCATTGATTAAAAATGAACCTCGCACATCTTTTAGCTTTATTTGCATTTTGATGTTAAGTACAGAAATGTTTGCTTCAGCAGCAATGTCCTAACTATACATTTACCACACACAACTTTCATTAACCACTGACTCCTTTGTCCTTTCTTTTCATGATGAACTGTCATACCTACCCACAGAACCAGCTTACCTTCCCCACTTGCTTCATCCATGCTTGCTCTTGCAGTGCAAAGTGTCTCTGACGGAAATCCTGTGATCGAGCCAACTTCCTCTCCTGCACGCCTGCTCTCTCCTCCATTTCTGCCTCCTCACAGCTAAACAATTCTCCTTCTGCAGCTCCTCTGCACTCCTGTAATCCTACTGAGCTTTCCATTGCTGCTGATTAACCCTTGTCAGGCCTTCCTTTCTGCTGTCCTCTGCTTGTTATCTCACCATTTTCTTTAAAGATAAAAGTAATAAGTTAGTCTCTTGCTGCTTCCTCTGTCTGCAAGTCTCTAAGTGGCAATAACAAAAGCTTATCTACACGTCTTCTGGAACTCCATCACTTGCCTCGTTAACTTCACTCTATATCATTTCCTGATCTTTCCAACACCTACTCCTTCATTTGCTCACAGCTTTACTTGTTCAGTCTGCTCTGACCCCCAGCACTCACACAGATATGCTTGTCTCTTTACCTTAAAAAAAAAAAAAGTTCCCTTCAAACTTGGTTTTGCTTCCTCTCATCATCTGAAAGCTTCTCAATCCATCTTAAACCACACTCATTTGCCCTTCATTCGCATTTAGCGTACCTAGATCGTGTCATAGCTTAGTTTGTGCAGTTATTCTCACCTATTTCAGCTGGTTCATCTTGGCTTGTCAGTCCTTCCTCTTGTGTTTCTTTCCCTTTTCTGCAGTGGTGAGTGCCATTTTTGACTCTCCTCCCTTCTCTCCAAGCTCACATCCCAATGGCAAGTGTAGGTGGGATTGCCTCTCAACACTGCCTTCCAACTTCAGGTGTCTCCGTTGCAATTCAAATCTGGGTAATGAGAGTGTGTTAGACAAACCATCTGCCTGAAACTCAACCCCTTTTCACTGAGTGATTTTACAGCCAACTGAGGAAAGGAGTGGGAACCTTACAAATGTGGTTTGGGCTCAGATTGCTTTGAACTGCTGGGGAAGAGTCAGCCAAGACATGGTCTTTGTTATTCATTGACGTGACTGGGGATTGTGCTCGAGCCTCTCCTCATCTCAGTTATTGATGACAACCTTTTCTCTGGCCTCAGCAGATAAAGCATTTGCTTCCATTCAGAAAGCCCTGCAAGGCCTTTTCCTTAGTTATGCAGTAACTATGTTAGTTTCCCACACCTTTCCAAAGAGAGGGGTCTCTATCACACACAAACCTGTTATTCTTCAGTTCCAAGCTCATTCGTGCACTGATCTGGTTCTAGGTACCTTTTGTTTCACTCTGTAAAGGCATCTTCTGTGTCCTGGCCCTACAACTGAATTCCACTACTGTCCTTTCAAGTAAACACCTTCCTGCTTTATCCCACGTTGTTGCTCAGGATGAGCTCCTGTTGAACACCTGTAGAGGTTGGCACTGACAATTTGTTTCCTATAAAGCTCCTCCTCATCTGTATACAGACATTCTGTACAGATACTGCATATTGATATTAGGCTTCTCCCTAAACTTTTGGATCAGAAACACTTGCAGGCATTTGCTGCTTCATTGTTCTACATAATGTTTAACATAATACTGGCTTGGATTACCCCTGAGGCCTCTAAGCTCAGGGATAAGTACCCAGTGTGATCCCATCCATGATGAAGAAATGAGTGTATGAATAAACCAATAAAAATATTTTATCTAATGAATTACAAGAGGCAATCAGTTTAAAAAGGCTTTTTTTTTAAAGTCAGTGCCTCCTCAAGGGCATCTTCTCTTCATCTCAGTTCTATGTTGCATAAGGAATCTTTTTTGCCATTCTTATTTTTAGCACTTACCTTCAGCCCTACCACTGGGGTTACTTGCATAGTTATTATTATTAATAAAATGTATTTATTTATGCTGTGTAAAGACTAAGACAGAAGCTTTCTGTAGCATCTGTAATTGGTATAGAACAGGCAGTTTGTGACCTGAGATGCTTACAATTAATTTAGACAAGACAGACATAGGGATAAATTACACCAAGATTCAAGGCAGTGAATGATGTTTTCTCTCTTTTTTTTTTTTTTTAAAGAAGAGGGGACCTAGAAAAATCAACACAATGGAAATAGTGGGAAAATGGAGAGGATGAAGGGAAGGAGGCGATGAAGACAGGTATGGCACAAAACTGGTATGAACAGTTTTCAAGGCAGGGCTTGGCATACACTGCAAGTTTGATAGAATGGCAAAATTAGGCCTAAGATCAGAAAGTCCATATGCAAGTAAAATTCAATTGAAATTCAGGCATTACCATGAATAGTAATTACAGGATTAAAAAATGGCAAACAGTGATAGTTTTTTTTTTTCTCAGTGGTAAATGTGTCAGGTAAGGAGAATTACCACCCAAGAAGGTATGTGTGTACTTTTCTTTGATTAACCGCAGGCTTTGAGTGGGGAGTGAAATGCAAGACCAAAACCCAAGTCACAGCCCAGAGGAATTTTTTAAAATTACTTGTGGCATGATGGGGCCTGGTGAGAAAAATTATAACCATAACAACCCATAATCTCAAGTTTCTCAGTCTACCATGTCTAGATGACATGTAAAGAATGACTTCGTTAGTTGGGCCAGGCACAGTTTTCAAACCAGGCTGCTTAGCCAGTCTACAACCACACTGTTATCCTGCTGTTAGACATGGGACACAGGAGGCATCAAACAGCTATTAAAATGGGATGTCTGGGAATCACAGAGAGCCCTGGGAGCTGCTGTTTGGAATTGCTAAAATGAGAGATTGAGATGGACCTGACCAGGAGAAATGGGCAGCTGGAAAAAACACAGCTTCAAAGAAAGCCCTGTTAAGCAGGAACAGGAAAACACTTGCCAAAGTGCCAATGGAAGGGAAAGATGAGACAGGTTCAGCAAAGCAAGAAAGAGAACTGGGGGGGAAAAAAAAGGAGAAAAGGTAAATGTATGGAAGAGTCCAAATGAGATGTCAATCATTCACATCCTTAGCAAGACTCTGTGAAATACAAAGCAGAGGTTATGGGCAGTGAATCTTCCAAGAAAATGAAGTAATAAATATATCATGAAAAGCACTCAGGTTATATCCATCAGCTGAGCCTAAACTTACCTGACAGACCCGTGTAAACTGCTGCAATTTTCATTTTACTCTCAGATGCTGGTCTATAAACTTGTAACTTCAGGGCAGGTATATTCCTGCAGTCACCTGCCAGAACTGCATCCACAAAAACCTGCAAAAGATCAGTGGTATTCACCACTTCGTCAATGCCAGCTACAGCAACATGCAAGTATCAGTGTGGTCTGAGCTCCAGGTAATCACTTAAGCAAATGTGTGGTATTTTCCAATTAAGCAGGCTATCAGCACCATGTAAGTGAATGCAGCCAGCTGACAGACAGTGGCTGAGCTGGTTTTAATCACAAACCACACCTTTTTGGTGTAAACCTGATTGGTTTACAATCTAAGCCAAAGCTGCCTGAAGAAGTCACAAGAAGCCCTCTTGCTGGATGTGGGGTAAGCTCTTCTGAGATGGTATAACTTAGGATAAATATTTTAAGAAAAAATTATTTGCTTCTAACGTTTTATTTAAAGCTTAATACAAGAAAACTATCTAAAAATATATTCTCATAAAGATAATTATCTTTGTCAGCCAACATCTGCAACCTGTCCTGAGGACATTACAATTTTCAAGTGTACTGGTTAGGTGCTCTTTGTACTGTCTTTACTGCCCTGACCTGAGAGAACATTGTTTTATAAAGTTCAGCCTAAACTGTAATTTGTCTATGGGGTACCCTACCCTGTCAGCAGCCTATGTTGAGATAGACATGTCTGAAGTTCTGGCCTACTGTATTTAGGACAAAAAGAGCTCTAAAAGAAGGACCGCTCAGATCTCAAAACAAAGACTTAACAAAATGTATCACCACTATTTATTTTTATTCACAAGTAGCTCTGTGCACTCCTTCTGAGTTGTAACAGCACATGAAAATACCCAAGTTGAGCCACGAGACATATTTGAGAGGGTGGAGCGGGCAGTACCACGTGCACTCGTTACTACGGTAAGTTAGGTAATAATTACTACTTTTTGCCCACAAGCTAAGGACTTAACTTTTATTTTCTTTAAAGATGTGGCCGTGAGCTCTGGCTGCATACCAGAAGCCAAGCTCCGTCCCTTTGACATGGACAAACGGGACGTTAGGAGCTGTAAACTGTCCAAGAACGTGAGCTGTGGTTACAAGCTGAGTTCTGCACTTTGCAGCCCAACTTTGCCAGGGAGGCTGACATATCCCTGGGCGAAAGGAATTAAGGGCTGGGCACGTGCTCGGCGCTCCGGCTCCCGCAGTTATGTAATATCCAACCTAAGTTTAAAAAAAAAAAAAAAAACAACACCAAACTCCGGTCCCTCTTGGGTTGCAGAACCAGCGGAGCTGGAAACACGAAGCAAAACCTTCCGTGTCCTGAAGCAACGACCGACTCCGTGCACAGAGCGCACCTCGAGCTGGAGCGGCGGGCACTGGGAGTGAGCGCAGCACTCCCCTCACAGCCGGGCGGGCACAGCGCGCCCCAAGGGCCGCGCTGGGCCCCAGTCCCCATATCCCGATCCCTATCCCGATATCCCGATCCCGCCTCGCCCGCTCTTCCCGGCCGGGTCTCTCCCACCGCCGCAGCCCAGCCAACGGCGAGCGCCGAAAGCGCTGAGTGACAGGCGGCGACGGCCAACGAGCGCGTGCCTTGTTGCGGGGTGGCGGAGGCTCCGGCGCTATAAAGGCGGCCACGCGTCGAGGGCCTGGGCCCGAGTACGTGTCTGAGGGGGAGGCGGCGGTGGCGGCGCGGCCGGAGCGGAGCAGCCGCGGGCAGCGCGATCGGCTCCAGCGCCGGGGCGCTTTTAATCGGACTCCGGACGGCCCGGGTTTTATCGGGAGCGGGTTTTAAAGTGAGTACCGAGCGGGATGGCGGCGGCGGAAAGGGGGAGGGGTGTGAGCGGACCGGATCAGACCGGCCCGGCCGGGGAGGAGCCGCCGCGCTGACCCGCGCTCGTCTCTCGCAGGAGCCTCTCGTCCCTCTCCCTCAGCGGACGGGGCACCATGTCCGAAGCGGAGCAGCAGCTGGCGGCCGGCGCCACCCAGAACGGGCACGAAGCGGCCGAGAGCGCCGGGGAGCAGCAGGCCGAGAGCGGCGCGGCCCCGGCAGCAGCAGCAGCGGCGGCGGCGGGGGCAGCGGGAGCGGCATCGGCGGCGGCGGCGGGAGCCGGGCCGGCGGCGGGCACGGCGGGCACGGCCGCCAGCCAGAACGGGGCCGAGGGCGACCAGATCAACGCCAGCAAGAACGAGGAGGACGCGGGGTAAGCGCGGGCGCCGTGCGCGGCCCGGCGGGCCCGGCAGCGCCCCCGGCCCCGCGGGGAGGGCGGCGGGAGCGGCCCCGCCGAGCCGGGGCCCTGCAGCACCAGCGCTTCCTTTGTTCTGGCGCTGCCTTTTGTTGGCGCCATGTGGCGGCTGGGGGAGGGGCGCCGAGCGGGGCTGGTGCCGTCTCACGCTGTAAAATGGAAGGGGATTTACCTCTCCCGCGTTTTTCCTCAGCCTTTTCCTCCCGAGCGAAAGGGGCGGATGGAAGGAGTTGCTTTGTGTTGCAGGGGGGGCTGGTTGAAACTTTCTGGGGATCGCATGACCGGCGTCGATGTAAATGCGAACGTGTTTTGTGTAACGCGCATAAAAAAAATAATCCTGGCTTTGGAAGGCGGTCGGGGTAAGCCAAGTATTTTATAAAAGAAGTAAAGGGAAAACGGGGACGATGGAGACGGTGCGCGGTGTGTTCAAACCAGTAAGAGCGATTTTGGTGTGCTACTTTGCAGCATTGTCAGAAAACGGCTTATGTCTTGCAAGTGATTTCTGGAGGAGTCAGAGTGGTTTCGCTGTGTTTTGGTCGAGGCATCCTTGTGTACAAAAGAGGAATTTCTTTGCTATCATAGTTTGTAAATATACGTACTTGACTTGCAGAGGACCTGCCTGTTTTCTCAGGCGGGTCTTTGTCATTCAGGCTACCCTACGTATTTAATTGGAACTCCCTTTGTTATCACCGAGCCCTGGACCAGAGGGTCAGATCCCTCAGGTCAAACAGAGAGCTGAAGCCAGTGTAATAGGTTTGGGCTGTAAAGGAACGAATAAGACTTGCCCAAGCTTCCTACAAGCTGGGGCCGGATGTACCTTTTGCAGACATTGGAAGAATTAAAAACCAGGCCTTCCAGCCGCGTGTGAATTTTCCTTTTACTGTTTTTAGTGTTTTGCGCTGAAAAGAGAGGGTGATGCTCTTACTTTCCTGCACAGGAGGTGACAGGTTTCAACCCCAAATCCGTATGAAATGAAACTTCCAAGAAGAGCAGTTATTTTAGAGGGATTGATTGGCCTATGTGGAAAATGTAGTGCTGTGCTAAAACAAGAGCTGTCCGAGCCACTGACATTAGAATGTTCTGTTAAGAGCTGAAACAAGCTTCGATTTAGCTGCACCAATTCTCTCAGGAGGGGAAAAAAAGACTGTGTTAAGGGTGCAGTTGTCCAGTTTGTGGCCTCTGAAGACAAACCCAGATGTTAGGAATTCGGTCATAGTTTCAAAGGCTCTATATTGTGTTACTTAAATATGTGTAGGTATCGGTCTTTCAAGTTACAAAACAAAGCACTGCAAATTGCAGAGTGTGATGTGTACTGCTGTGGTAAGAGGTGAATTGAGCGTGTGGCAATGCCTGTGTGTGCACCACAGCCCCAACCCGATGGCATAAAGCAGCTAAAGCTGCCTCTGGACAAATCCTGTCATCCCCCAGCCACCGAGTTACTCTTGATCTAAGTGTAGTCAGTGATGCCGGGGTGTGCTGTGGAGAGCTGCTCTTCGGGTTATAGCTCGGTCAGGGAGCTGTGATGGGAAGGAATCCACCGAGTGACCGTCCTTTAACCTGGTATTGAAAGGCTTAGTAAACTTTGTAAGGCTCTGCTCTAGCGGCTGCAGGACCCTGTACATCTGCTGCAACCACCAGCTAAGAGTGCACAGCAGGTTTTTCTGGAAAACACAAGGGTTTAGCCTGCAAAGGATAAACCAGATTTCATCCAGGTTAAGAAAAAAGGGCAAAACCCCTATAACACCTTTTTTTTTCCCCTACTTTTTTTTTTTTTTTGAATATAAATGGATAGCAGTTCTAGCAAATCAAAGTTACACATAAGCCTCCAAAGCCAATTTTACTTAGGCATAGTCTAGTTTTTAAAGTGCTGATACCTCCTAGTGCCAAATCTAGGTTGCCTCTAAACAGTGTAATGACAACTTAAACTGCTTCAGTCTATAGTTAGATAAAAAGGCTCAAACGCTTTTAAAAGCTTAGTTTGTTACCTTGGAAACTCTGAAAATAGAAAATACAGCCGTGTTATTAATGTTTTCATTTGAAGTGAAGCATTTGAAAAATGCCTTATTGCCTGATATCACTGTTTTTGTTTTTTAGCTGAACTTGTGTATTGTGTCTCACTAGAATTTAGTTCTTTGAGATGCATCTCCTTTTTCAGAGGATATTTTGTGTGGGAAAGTAGGTAGGGAAGGACTGTATTGGCCTTTTTGGAAGTAAAGGCTAATAGTGGAGAGGCTCCTGTAGTACTGATGAAGACAGAACTAGATTCAGTAACTAAGCAGGAAGAAGTGTACAACATAGTAGTTAAGGCAGGTCCAAAGTCCCATCTCATGTATGTGACTGCTATTGGAGGTCATAGATACCTGGTTTAAATTTTGCAGATTGTTCCTAGGACTAAAATTTTTACAGCCATTGGACCAAAACCTTAAAGAGCTCATGTATTTTGCTTTTAATGCCTTACTCTTTGCTGGATGCTTTCAGAGCAGTAGGAATGATCCTGGATTCTTTGCAAAAACTGAGTTGGCAGTACCTGATAGTCAATACTGCTTTTTTGCAAACAACCTAAGAGCATAAGTTACTGGTGAGGAATATTTCAGGAATATTTGTGCTGTTTCTTATAGCCTGTAATCAAGTTCAGGGTGCATTGTGGCATTTCCTCAAAAAGAGGGGGAGAAACCCACCCTTGTGCACTCCTGTAGTACCACCAGCTTTAGACAAGAGGCGAGTGTTTAACTTGGACCAGTCGGTCGTGTTCTGACAATGCTGCTGAGGGGTGTGCCACTGAGCATCTTGCTGCATGGCCTTTGCTGTAGTCCTTCCTGAATCTAAATAGCTGTTCTCTTTGAAATTTCAGGAAGATGTTTGTTGGTGGCCTCAGTTGGGATACGAGCAAAAAAGACTTGAAAGATTACTTCACCAAATTTGGTGAGGTAACCGACTGCACGATAAAGATGGACCCTAACACAGGAAGATCCAGAGGCTTTGGATTTATTCTCTTCAAAGAACCTGGGAGTGTTGAAAAGGTGAATTTGAACTTCATGTTTTGGATCCTTAACTTTGGGAGGAAACTTTTCAGCTTGAATTAACCATACCAAACTGTCTTTCAGGTTCTGGAACAGAAAGAACACAGACTAGATGGCCGACTAATTGATCCCAAGAAGGCCATGGCAATGAAAAAGGATCCAGTGAAGAAAATATTTGTTGGTGGACTAAACCCAGAAGCCACAGAAGAGAAAATCAGGGAATACTTTGGAGAATTTGGAGAGGTGTGTACTGTTATCCTAGTAAACTCTGAAACATTTAGTCTCCAGTTGCTATTTAGTTTACTAATACTTTGAAAGTTTCAAAGTAAATTAACTTCAGATGTATCAAGGCTTCTGTAACTGATCCAGAGGTTTCCCACCTTGAGAGCAAAGGTGGCACATACTACACTAGATGCTTCCAGTGCTACTTGGATACCCTTGCCTTTAACTCAAAAGCATTTTTAGCTGATATTAAAATTGGTTTGAAGAGTTGTAAAATGGAAATCTCTGGTCTGAAGTTCAGTGTTAATATAGAAAGACTAATGCAGCTTTGGTGTTGCATAATATGCATAGAGAGGAAACTTAATAGTTTTACTGTCCCAAATGCCTTGTACTTAAGTGTTCTGCTAAAATACAAGTCTGAAAATAGTATTTCATGTCTTCAGATTGAAGCAATTGAACTTCCAATGGATCCAAAGACCAACAAAAGGAGGGGGTTTGTGTTCATCACTTTCAAGGAAGAGGATCCAGTGAAGAAGGTTTTGGAGAAGAAATTCCACAACGTCAGTGGAAGCAAGGTAGAAACTTTGACTTACAACTTTTTGTCCAAGTTACTAAGCATAATACCACTACATCTGTAACCTGGAAAGGTTTTTGCAGACCTCTTGTGTCAAGGTACTAAATTTACAATAAGGACAGCTTTCAGTTTACCCTGCTGTTGTTTTGCCATAAGTTCAGTCACAGATTCTTTGCCAATATTTATGGCTTTCATAATTGCTGTGTTCTAGGGCCTTTTGTATGTGAAGTATCTAAGTGCATTCATTACAAACACATGGAGAAACTGGCTTGTGTAGCAGTATAGGCCTTATGTGTTCATGTGGCTTATTTTCAGCATAGAGCCCTTGCATAAATGTAAGCCTTAGAGTCACTAACTTTGTAAGCAGCTGGCTGAAACTGGCTCTGCCTGGCTGGGGGCAACTTCTGGTTTCTTCTCTCAGAAGCCCCTTCCTGCAGCCCCCCTGCTACCAAACCCTTGTCATGTCAACCCACTACAAGGATCCAGAGAGCAAATGTAAACTTTATGGCAACTTGTACCTGGTCAGCTGGTTGTGGGAACTATTGTAAGAGTGGTGTGAGATGCTCTGAACAGCTCACTGCTCATCTGAGGGAACAGCTAATAGAGGCTCATGCCTCAAGCTGATAAGGAGAGGACTGGAGGCAAAGGATGTGTACTGGCTGGAGGTGTCCCTCTTCCTTTGCTCTGAGGCCAGTGCTGTCCATACACATAATTTCAAAGCCCTGTTACATTTGATCATACTGTCTGGCACAGTGACTTAGATTGCACTTAGACTGGTTTTGACACAGCACAAAATAAGCTTTGGCAAATGTAATGCATTGATCAAGTCTGTTTTCAGGAGAGATGAATGTCTACATGCCAAGGAAGCTGAGAAATTTCTGTATCTCCTAACTATGGCTTGTTGTGTCATAGTGTTAATAAAAAACAGGTTACCTTAAAGGTCCTGTGGTGAAGAACTCCAGGCCAGACTTGCTCAGGTGCTGTTGTTCCTTTTGCAGCAGCAGTAGCTTTCATCTTGGACTGTGCACAGATTCAGGAACCAGGCAGCTGACTGACAGCTTGAGCTGCAGCCTGGGAACCTGCCTTGGAAATGTCAATTCTGGTTAGTTTTTTTTAGCTGTTAGTATTTGATAAGTGATGATTTTAGTGTTGGTAGGGGTACTGTACAGTCCAACCGCATGCACAGGAATAGGGTGGGCAAAGGCTGCCCTCTCACCTGGCACAACCTCCAAGACAAGGCTGTTGCTATCAGACTTCACCTGAGCTGCACTGAATGAACAAGGCTCAGAGTCTTCCTGGCAGCCTACAGGAGTGGTGGCATCAGCACCTCTTCCATGGGGAGACTGATGGTAGGAACAGGCAGAATAAAATGCCCTTAAAGCAGTGGCCTCTTGGAAGGGCTGACAGTGACTTACCTTTGCCCAGGTGGCACAGTAAATCAGACACTTCTGCATTAGTGCTGCTCACCTGGCAGGAGCACAGCGTGTCCACCTCCTTTGCCTCCAGAGGAACCTCTGGATTTCCCAGGAGCTCAGGGTGGGTGCTGCTGCTCTAAGACACCTTACATACTCTTCCTTTTTTATTTTCAGTGCGAGATTAAGGTAGCACAGCCAAAAGAAGTGTACCAGCAGCAACAGTTCAGCAGTGGCGGAGGAAGAGGTAGCTATGGAGGAAGAGGCAGAGGTGGAAGAGGCGGCGGTAAGTACCACACACACTACTTTAGTATGGACACATTCTAAATAAGTTGTGTGTACTAAAATGGGATTTTGTGGATGGTTTTCCCTTCTATAGCTCAAAGTCAAAATTGGAATCAAGGTTATGGCAATTACTGGAACCAGGGTTATGGGAATCAAGGATACGGCTATCAGCAAGGTTATGGTGGCTATGGAGGCTATGATTATTCAGGATATGGGTATTATGGATATGGACCAGGCTATGATTACAGTAAGTAAAGAGAACTGTATTGGGTATAAGCAAACGTAACTAATTAGCAGTTTAATGCATTTGTTCTCTTGTTCATAGGTCAAGGCAGTGCAAATTATGGGAAGACACCAAGACGTGGTGGTCATCAGAATAACTACAAGCCATATTGATCAAACTTATTCAGGTATGCAGTGGCATGGTCTCTTTTGGAAAATGACTGCATAGGTTTTGTATACAATGCTGTAGATGGATACTTCAGTTCTGTACCAAATTTAACTTTACAATAAATTTCTATGGCCTGTTAAATGTGCATCTTACTTGGAAGAGCTCCCTGGAAATGTTTTACATGTTTAATACTTACAGATAACTAGTTGTCTAGACAGTGTGGTGTGTAAATTTCAGCATTGCTGAAGATATTAATTAATGATTTTATTAATAGGTTAAACTGAAACTGATTTTGAGGGTCTGCTTAAAGCTGCAGCTCTGCATCTAGGGACTGCCTCTTGGAGTTAACTATGGACTCTGCATTACTCCAGTTGTACAGAATGAGATGCATCTTAGGGAACCAGTGTCACTTTCCACCTTTTTATTTTGTATTGTTTTTGTGTCATACATTTCCTGTAATGGAAGTGTTAATTTTACTGTACTTTTTGGTACCTTTTTGGAATCTAATGTATTGTAAGGTATTTTACATGTGTTCTGATTCACCATGACATGGATATTGAAGCTATCCTAGCTTTTGAAATAAAAAAGGCGTAATCTAGTGTCTTGTGCCATTCTTCAGCTTATGTGTTAGTAAAACGCCAGTTCCTGTTCCCAGAACTTAGCTCATGGCAGTACCTTGATAGATGAGGAGTTGTGCTTAATGTTGTTACTCTTGAAACTAGAAGGCTGTGTTGGTAGTTGTGCTCACTTGCAGTTAAGCGGCAGCTGAAACCTGCAGTCGCTTCTGCCTGGAGGTTGTGGAGGAGAGCTGAGGTGAGGAGCCCCAGCTGTTGAGGCTGTGCTGGTGAGCTGGTGGCTCTGCCCTAGGCAAGCACAGGGGCTCAGTGTAACTGTGTTGGTGTCTGCATTGGGCTCTGCTTGGAGGAGCCAGAGGTGTAGGTCTCAGGTAGGGCTTGGGAGCCTGGACAGCATTGCAGGAGGATGCCAAGAGGTGTGGAAGAAGCTGGGCTGCATTTCCTTCATGTTTCACTGTCTCGAGTCTGAGACTTGGCTACAAGTTGCTAATAGTATGTATATACCTGCCTTGAGAGGCAGGTTGGACAGACATTAAATTACCAATGCAAAGTTGAATTTTTGAAGCCTTTTTGTGTATCAGAAAAGGCTAAAAGAACTTCCACTACAGTTGTGGGTGGAAAAAACATCTCTTTCTCTAGAGATGAGTGACCAGCTAGAAATAAGCTTTCCTTTTTTGACTACTTCACTATTTTAAGGCAATAACTGTCATGTGATTTGCCTGTCTTGTTGTAGAATAGTCCCAGTCTCAGATTTATAAATAAGTAGCAAGCTCTGCTGCACAAAGTAAACTTCTAATATTTGTTGCAGTGATTAATTTGGTTTTTTTTTCCTTTTAAAGATAAAACAGGACATTTTTTTTCCCCTTGTAATAAATTCTCTTTGATGCCCAGAATTGGAATCAAACCAAGTAACTAAGACAAGAAATAAACAGATGTTACTAGTGACCTTTTCAGGTTTTTTAGCAAGGGATGCAGCTATTTCTGCAGGGACTATAATCTGCTGCTCCCTGCTGGCTGTCCTTGAAAAGAAAAACTTGCTTGTAAAGTTAGAATCTCTCTGTAAGACTCTTGCTGGGTTAAGTGGAAATCTTGAGCATTAAAAAAAAATGAATCAGATTTTAAATGTGATAGTTGAGAACTTTACAGCTTGACCTGTAACTTCAATCCCAACTTACTGACTTGCAAAAAAAAAAATTTGCAGACCACTGAAAGAAATGAGTACAGTATTTAAAAGTATTACTGTCTCAAGATGTAAAATTTCAGTGCTTTACTCTATTGCATACTTTTACTGGTTTTCCTGTGAAATAAGGGGTAGCAGAATATTTTTCTAGCAGTCACCTGGCCCTCCAGTGGGAAGTTTGCACAGTACCAGGATCATTCTGCTGCAGTCCTTCTGTGTCCTAGCAAGAGTTTGTCAGCTGGCTGTTACTGTGGTGGATTTTGGAAGTAGGTTCTCAGGTAATGCTTCCTTGACAGGTGATGAGGCCTTAGGCAGAATCTGATGACACTGGTACTTAAATGCAGAGCTGGCTTTTCCCTTTCTTCTTTGTATGAAAAGTTTATGATACAAAGAACATGTACTTGCCTGGTGAAAGCAAAGGCATGTACACAAGGTTGTTGTTTATGGCTATAATCTAATCTTAATTTACTAATCCTGCTCGGATACTTCTTGAGGACAGACTTTGTACGAACTGGTTTGGAAACAGTGGCTCTGAGCTGCCTGTTCCTCATGCATCTGATGTTAGGAATTTGGGACTGAAGTTTTTTGACCTAATCTGGTTTCTGAGACTGTTGAATATAGTGCTACCAGGGACCTTGTTATGACACTGGTGGCTGAAACTGGTCAGGAGAGCCTGGGAAGGACTGGGTGTACTGGCAGCTAGACTGGTGTTTGCATAGGCAGCTGGAGGTGTAAACGAATGAGGGAACCCCTTGGGTCATCCTAACCTGAAAGAGCACGAATTTAGAAATTGTAGCTTATAGTAGCCATTAGAAAGATACTCCTTTATAATCAGTTTTAGATACAACTGCTTTAAATAAAAGGCAATTCCACACTGCCAGAATTGAGACAAGCTCTTGTAAAATTTATTTCTCCTAAAGATTTTACTAAAAACAAGATAACTGAAAATAACAAAATCAAAGGTGACTTATCTGATCTAAGACATGCTAGGATGAAGATTAAATGTGCATTATTATAGTAGAATAATGTTTCTTAGTAGTAGATCTTGAACATTGTTTGAAACCTATGGAAAGAAAATAATGTTATGTTTTTTTGTAAAAGTATCATTAAAAGAAATCTACTTCATTGCCTCATTTTCACTTACATTATATGTAAGTGTCTTACTAGTACTGTACTTAGTAAGAGCCTTTTTGCATTCTTGGTTTCCTGTAGAGAATAAAAGCATTTTTCTTGCTTAGTTTAGATTACAGACAAGCACATTAAGTCATTAGGCCTCTAAGTTACACTGGCACTGTTAAGTAATCTTTCTGTTCCTAAGAATAAGTAGTATAAACAGCTGTATGTCTTTCCATTAACTTGCTAAATAAAATATTAACACATTTTTCTTGTGCCTGCTATACTAATATTACACTGCACTAAAAGCACATTTCTCCTTAGCTCAGGGCTGTAGCACTGTGAACCTCATGGTGGTTGAGACCACCAATGATTACATGATCACAATGATCACATCAGGTACATTCCTGTCTGCTATCTAGAGTTTTACTAAACATGGGGTTGTCTTTTAGTCTGAGTAGGTTGAACAAGTACTAAATGGACCAAAGGGTGTTGTTATCAAGGTGTAACTCTAAGTGTACACTGTACTCATGAGTGTGTGGCAAACTTAAGTTGCAGATAGATGTCCTCTCTCAGCAACCTATGGAGGGACCTCAACAGATGAAGACTTAGGAGGCTTTAAAGACTTAACAGGACTCAGTCTTACTCTGATGCCCCCAAACCTCTGACTGTAAGGGTAAATCGATTCTTAAGCCTGAGATTCCATCCATGAACCTGAAATGATCCCAACAAGTAGGGAAAAATGCTCAAGGGAACAGAAGGCAATAATATTTCCAAGTCAGATGTTAAGTAAAACACAAAAGCACCACTTACAGCTCTTCACAAAGCTGTTAGCATAAGTGGAGGATCCCAAAGTGTGGGATGCAGATGCCCTGACTGGCAGGCAAGGGGAGATCTGCTGAGAGCTACTTATGGAGCTGGAGCAGCTTCTGTCTGGAGATAATGGCACTGAGCAAAAAGGCTCTGTGTTTGTGTTGATGTGCATGTCGTTTGCATGCCAAGGGTTAAACCAGTCACTCTGAAAGCTTCCCAGACCAGCACAGCATGCTGTGGTGGTAGTCATGTCTGGGACATGTTGGACCTGGCTTAGAAGCAAATGAGCACACACACTGTTACTGGGAGTGTCAGCCTCTGATAGAAAGGAGCTGTGAATGCCAGATGTGCACAAGTCTGGGCCATGTCATGAGATTGCCTGAAATTCCTGCGAACTAACTTCAAGTAAAAGCACCTTTGAGGAGGCTTCACTCTGACAATGCTTGTGAAGTTATGTATAGGAACCTTGGCTTTTAAATAGTACTGTGTGACTAGAGATAAATACCTGCTCAGGTAGAACAAGTAGATGTTTTCTGTTGGTTCAGACATCCTTTTTCCATATCTGGAGAGAGAATAAGCAACAATTCAGCAAAGTCACAACTTTGAGACAAGGTTTTGTACTAACTTTGTTAGTGCTAAGTGTATAGAAATTGTATAAAAAGCTAAGTGGCAAATGCACACAGATTATGGCTTTTGAGAATATTTGGACAGTTTTTACCAGCTGCCCTTGTTCAGATAGGTAAACTCTTAAACCTCAGCCAGAGCAAAGCTGTTTTAAAAGGCATGTGCTGCATCTGTGGAGGAAATAGTTTTGTTAGAAAACTTCAAAACAGAGTAATTTAGAAGAGAAGGTTCACCATCTGCCATCTTGGCTGTATTGTAGCCTATTTTGCCTTTGAGGCAGTTCAACAACCACCCTCTATTTTTGAGGGTTTTGATCAGTTCTACCTGTTAGTATCTTGTCCATTGTTTCCACAACAAATTTTGCATCCTCCATATTGAAGCACATTGGGGGCTTGAATTTCAGCACATTTCTTCCTGGTCCATCTGTACTCAGTAGAATATATTCTTCCTTAAGTCTGGAAAGAGCAATAACAAAGAATCATTTTTACCTTTGCATGTAGTTCAGAAGAACTTGCAAGCTCCAGCACGGAGGCTGTCACACGGTGCCTTTCCCCACCGACTGCTTTCTTTTTTGGCCAGATTGTTGTATTGTAGTTTGTAGTTGTGTCCTTGCCTCCCACACTGAGGAACTCCATGACTGTCCCATGTACCTTGTTATCAGATACTCTGCTTCTGCTGGGGCTGGGGTCCTTTCTGCTTGGTCCTTGATTAAGTCCACTCCAATGAATAAGCCACAACCCCTTTAAAAGAAATAAAACCAGTCACTCTGTGTCAGAGGAAGGAACTGCAAGTGAACTAAAAAACAGGTTTTGGTAAGACCAGACCTTAACTGCATGAGAGTTACCTGATGTTTGGCTACTGATAGAAAAGGTTTTGCTGTTTTGAAGAAGTGGTAATACAATATAGACTTCTGTCTGCTTAGAATGGCAGCACAAGACAGGATGTTAAGCATGTTTTCCATCTAGCTCATCACTTTTGTACTTTGTGCACTTGACATAAAAGTTCAAACAGGAAAGTGAACTCCTCTAGTAGCTAATAATAAATTGATAAAACAGTACTGACCCAGTGGCAAAGTATAAGAGACTTTTGATAAGCTCAAGATTATTTTTATCTAATATACAGCAGGCTGTTTATTTTTGCTGAAAACACAAATTTAATTTCTCAAAACATCTGTTGGACTGAGCTGTTTGACTGCACCAAATAAAAAAGCAGCTAAAAATGTAAATAAGGCACTGATACCTGACATCACCAATGATGGGATGCTTGATTTGCTGCTCCTTGAGTAGCTTCATCAAGAAGTTGCCTACCTCTGTGGCGTGAGCCTGAAGGTGTTCCTTCTCAATCACATCTAACACAGCTAATCCAATCGCACATGAAACAGGGTTTCCACCAAACTGAGCTCAGGAAAGGAACACACAGAGCCAGGGAAAGGGAAGAGAGATGCAATGGGGTCACTGAAAGTGTAGCCTCAGTGATACAATGAGCATACTACCACTTTCATCAGATGGAGTCAGTAAAGAGTCATATGCCAGAAAGATAGAGATAGATAGAAATAATACAGTAACACAGTTACTGTTTAGTAACTGTGTGGTAAATATTAATAAAATATTACTAAATATTAATAACAATACTGCATGATTAATTTTTAAGAGAGTTTGGGCAGCTCTTACTGTATTAAAATACTCCACTCCTGTGGCTGCAAACGCTTCTGCAATTTCCTTTGTTGTTGCCACACAGGCAAGAGGGTGCCCATTTCCTATTGGTTTCCCCATAGTGACAATGTCAGGTATAAAGTCTTCTCCCTGAAGCTGGAATGCCCAGAAGTGCTTCCCAACTCTGCCAAAGCCAACCTGAATTTCATCAGCAATAAATACACCTCCTGCCTTATGCACATGCCTGTAACAGAACAGATTTTACTGTCTCTTAAGAGGAAAGAGAACATAATATTTACTGATTAAGAACATGCAGAAAGCATTAGTTGGCAAACTTTCAGGAAACAAACTTGTACAGGCCTATGTTCTAGATCATGTCTTTAAAAGCAGGTCTTTGCCATACAAAGTTCACATTCTAACATGAAGGCTTAGGTAGTTTCCTGCCTATCAGGCTATTTATTACAGCAGGCAGAGAAGTCTCTTTTATCTATATTTAGCAAGTGTGTTAAGTTAAAAAGCTAAGGTAATGAATGACACTTACTGTGCAACCTTTTGAAAATAACCTGCTGGTGGAATGATTTGACCTCCCACGCTTGGTAGAGATTCAACAAAAAATGCAGCAATCTGAAACACAGGTAGCATGTGATGTTTGAACACAGTAGAGAAACTTGTGGAGCAAGCTCTTTGTCCTTAGATGGTTTTTGCATTATTATGTGATCTTTTCTTTTTGACAAGTCCATACCACTTAGCTCAGTAACCCTAAATAGCATTGACAGTCAGGCACATTCATTTCTAAGGCAAAACAAATGGTTAAGAAAGTAACTTTTTACCTTTCTGTCTCTCTTATGTGCACGCTCAATAATATTTTTCACT